AAAGGATGGTCTCGATCTCTTGACCTTGTGATCCACCCGCCTCGGCCTCCCACAGTGCTGGGATTACAGGCTTGAGCCACCGCACCCGGCCTTAATTTTTGTATTTTTTAATAGAGACGGGGTTTCACCTTATTGGCAAGGCTGGTCCCAAACTCCTGACCTCAGGTGATCCACCTTCCTCAGCCTCCAAAAGTGCTGGGATTATAGGCGTGAGCCATTGCACCTGGCCTAGAAAATACTTTGTCACTAGTTCGAGCATAAATCTGGAGCTAAGGGGTAATTGCAAAACTTGAAGTTAATCTGTTTTCATTACAACAAATTAGTAAGGTTTAGCTTTCCTTTGAAAATCATTTGGAAAACTCTGCATGAGAGCGAGTTACAATAAGGGAAGATTTTATAGGAATAAGATTGACAGCCTTATTTTAAAAGCTGGAATTAAGTGCTACAAACCTGCTTGTTATATTTTTGTTACACATGAAAATAAGTGATTGGGTTTTTTCCTCTTGCTCTCCTAGGCTGGAGTATAGTGGCTCGATCATAGCTTACTATAACTTTGAACTCACCTGGGCTCGAGTAGCTGGGACCACAGGTGCTCACCATCACACCTAGCTTGTTAAATTTTTGTAGAGACAAGGTCTTGTTACATTGCCCACGCTGGTCTTGAATTCCTGGTCTCAAGCAATCCTCCCACCTCAGGACTCCCAAAGTGATGGGAGGCATGTGATCCACTTCACCCAACCAGATTATAAGATTTTTAATGTTTTTTAGTAAGCCTTTCATTTTTCCGGAGCACAGTAATTCTATAAGAAAATGGCTTTTCACCATGTTTCAGTGACAAATCTAAGCCTTCTAAGGAAATGACGTTATGGATCACTTCGTGATCATCACATTTTTCGTTTAAGCTCAGCCTTCTCAAATCAATCTAACTAAAAATGTTCATGACCTTGTAAGGCAATGTGGATGCAAAAGCTTCCTGTGTGTCTACAGCATTTTAGGAGCTGACCGTACATAATGAGTGGTACGGTCTGTTCTTGCTAATCTAGAGCAGCACTGTATATATTATTGTTTTTGAGACAGAATCTGGCTCTATTGCCCAGGCTAGAATGCAGTGGCACGATCTCTGCTCACTGCAACCTCCACCTCCTGGGTTCAAGTGATTCTCCTGCCTCAGCCTTCTAAGTAGCTGGGATTTCAGGTGCCTGCCACCACGCCCAGCTAATTTTTGTATTTTTAGTAGAGATAGGGTTTCACTGTGTTGGCCAGGCTGGTCTTGAACTCCTGACCTCATGATCCACCTGCCTTGGCCTCCCAAAGTACTGGGATTACAAGCGTAAGCCACTGCATCCAGCCTACTGTATATATTGTATAAAATATATGTGTATTGGTCCAAGTGATCCATCTCACTCCCCTGAGTAGCTGGCACCAAAGGCCCATGACAGCACACGGGGATGATTTTTGTAGAAATGATCTTCATCGTCTCAGACTCCCAAAGTGCCACCTGGGATTCAGACGTGAGCCACAGTGCCTGGCCTAACAGTATCTTTTATTTAATTTTTTTTTTTTTTTTTTTTTTTTTTTGAGTAGCCAAATGCAAATAGTTGAAAGATGAAATTATAGCTGTCCCTTGAACAACATAGGTTTGAACTTCAAGAGTCCACTTAAATGGAGTGCAGTTGCGTGATCCTGGCTCACTTGCAACCTTCACCTCATCTCCTGAAAAACCAAGGCCCGTGTGGTGCTCACATCTGTAATCCCAACACTTTGGGAGGCCAAGGCGGGCAGATCACGAGGTCAGGAGTTTGAGACCAGCCAGACCAACATAGTGAAACGCTGTCTCTCCTAAAAATGCAAAAATTAGCCAGGCGTGGTGGCATGCACCTGTAATCCCAGCTACTCAGGAGGCTGGGACAGGAGAGTCACTTGAACCTGGGAGGCAGAGGTTGCAGTTAGCCAAGATCATGGCCCTGCACTCCATCCTGGGTGACAGAGTGAGACTCTGTCTCAAAAAAGAAAATAAAAAAAAAATTTAAATGGCCAGGCACAGTGGCTCCTGCCTGAAATTCCAGTATTTAGGGAGGCAGAGGCAGAACTATAGCTTAAGCTCAGGAGTTCAAGCTCTGCCTGGGTAATACAGCAAGACCGAATTGTCCATCAAAAGGAAAAAAAAAAAATGTAAAATGTGTAAATGACTTCCCAATGTTGGGATTGGAGAGAGGCTTCCTTAAGGGCCTTTCAAGTACTGACCTAGTGGCGTTCCAGCCTCATCTAGGTCCACTCTGCCTTTTCATTCAACATGGTGGTTCTTACACCTAAGACACTCTTCCTTCCATCCTCCCATGTGCCCACCCCCACCTTTGCCCACCCTGAAAGTCTCACTTCCTGACTGCACTGACTCCCCACAGACTATGGTGTTTGTTAAATATTCATAACTTCCTGTGTTTTTCACATTTGTTTGATGAATATCCATCAACATCCATCTCCACCCAAGAGCAGGAACATTTAAAATTAGGAAGTTTTTGTTGCTTTTTGTGGACTATAGTCTTCGTGAGAGGAGGAATTACTCTGTTTTGGTTACTCTTTGCATCCTCGGGTCCTCGACAAGTGCCTGGCTCATTGAAGTGGTAAATAAAATAATGCGATTGAATGAACAATTCATTGAACAAGAGAAACCACAGAAAGCTTTAATAGACTAATGTCGAATCTAGTTAATTTGACATTAAAAACGAAACAAGCTCAATAAGCTAACTTATATACAACAGTCGTCTGTAGCAACGCTGGAGTCTCTCTCTTTTATTTTTATAGTTTCATTCAGTTCCCTTTCAGGCTGTGGAGTTCCTTATTCTAATGCTGCTGTTAAGCGCACACACCAGAGTTTGTGAGAAGCTATGCATCGTGCTCTGATTTTTCAGCCTTAGTTGCCTAACAGGAACATCCCATATTGGTTTTGTTTTTGCTTTTGAGACAGGTTGTTGCTTTGTCGCCCAGGCTGGAGTGCCGTGGCGCCATCTGGGCTTACTGCAGCCTCGACCTCCCGGGCTCAAACAATCCTCCCGCCTCAGCCGGCCGAGTACCTAGAGCTACAATAGTCCGGCTAATTTTTATATTTTTTGTAGAGTCTGAGTCTCGCTCTGTTGCCCAGGGTGGCCTCCAACACCTGGACTCGTGATTCTCCCGCCTCGGCCTCCCGAAGGGTTGGGATTACAGGCATGAGCCACCGCGCCCTACCCCCATATTCCTTTACCGCATTCTAACCTACTCGGGCTTTCTTCACGTTTCAAAAAGGACCAATCCCAGCATGCAATGCAGACAATGAGAACCAGTCGCTTAAAACCACACGTCCCAGAATGCCGTCCCTCAGGCAATCGCGGAGCGCGATTGGCCCCGCTGCATTCTGGGAGTTGTAGTCTCTCGCGACTGGCCCCACCCCGTGTGCAGTTTTCGGGGCCTAAGTCTGGAGAAAACCCTAGCGGGTGGCTAGCCGCGGCTCAAGTTCTGGAGAGCGGTGCCGCCCTCAAACCTTGGTCCCCGAGCCCTGGTGGTCCACTCCGCCTTTTGTCGAATCTTTTCCACAGCCCAAAATGGCGGCGGAGGTGTATTTTGGCGATCTAGAGCTGTTCGAGCCGTTCGACCACCCAGAGGAGTCGATTCCGAAGCCCGTTCACACTCGCTTCAAGGACGACGACGACGACGGCGACGAGGAGGACGGGAATGGGGTCAGCGACGCGGAGCTGCGGGAGCGGCTTCGGCAGTGCGAGGAGACCATCGAGCAGCTCCGCTCCGAGAATATCCTTCCCGCTCGCTGGGCCCTGTCACTCGGGCGTGGGGTCGGGGCGGCGCCCGGCGAGGGCGCTGGCGCGGGCGGAAATTCCAGGAGGGCCAGAATTCCAAGTGATTGTCACCTGCCCGCGGGTCGCGAGTCTAGGCTGCGGGGTGCGCGGGTCGCGAGTCTAGGGTGCGGGGCGCGCAGGCTGCCCCGGCGCCTCGACGCAGACCTCTTCCTCTCCCGCAGGCCGCCTCCTGACCAGACCCGCTCCTGCCTCCCACTCGGATGCCGTGTTTTAGGGTTATTTCAGGCTGCTCACCTGACAGATTGTACACAGGCCCCCACTTGCCCCCTCGCCTTGAGGTCGTGAGAAGATTTCATATTTTGCAGCGACGCTTAAGTTGTGCCGTCATATTATAGTTGTAGGTGATGAAATACCGGTTACTTAGATCGGGGCAAACGCCAGTGGTCCCAGGATGCAGAGTTGGGGGCCGCAGGGAATCCGGGTGTGCCGAGGTAATTGGTTAATCGCTTGATTAAAATTGGGGATTAATTTTAGAATTCTTCCACTCGGAGCTTGCTTCTGTGCTGAACATACATTGCAGCGCCTTGGAGAAAACTCGCCAAAGAAGTTTCTGTTAGGCTTGAGTTACATGATTGCAGATTTTTCGTGATTTGCTAGTATGTTTATTTACATTCGCAGAGTTTTATAGGTAGTTAGCTTTGGTTCGGGTAGTTTTCCTTTTAAAATTTGTAGAGACCTGAAAGTGACTGGTATGTCAGCTTTTTTGAGGGACGGCCAGGCTGGAGTGTGGTGGCGCGATCTCGGCTCACTGCAGCCTTCGCCTCCCGGGTTCAAGGGATTCCCCTGCCTCAGCCTCCCCAGTAGCTGGGATTACCAGGTGCTCGCCACTATGCCCGGCTAATTTTTGTATTTTTAGTAGAGATCGGGATTTCACTATGTTGGACAGGCTGGTCTAAAACTCCTGACTTTAGGTGATCTGCCCGCCCCAGCTGCCCAAAGTGCTGGGATTACAGGCCTGAGACACTGTGCCCAGCGGGTATATCAGCTTTTTAGGTTTTTGAAGCCCGATTTTTTTTTCCCAGAATGTCATCTTCCTCCACATTGTGAGAAGAATTTTCAGAATACAAAATGTTGAGGCAGGGCGTGGTGACTCATGCCTGTAATCCCAGCACTTTGGGAGCCCGAGGCGGGCGGATTACGAGGTCAGGAGTTTCAGACCAGCCTGGTCAACATGGTGCAATACCGTCTCTACTAAAGATAAAAATAGTTGGATGTGTTGGTGCATGCCTGTAATCCCAGCTATTCCTGAGGCTGAGGCAGGAGAATCGCTTGAACCCGGGAGGTGGAGGTTACAGTGAGCTGATCTTACCATTGCACTCTAGCCTGGGTGACATGGCAAGACTCCATGTCAAAAAAAAAAAAGGTTGAAGGGATTCTACAGTGGACATCCATAGATTTCATTCCAAATAAAAATTAACAGTTTATTACACTGCATTCACTTTATCACATAGTGGCTGTTGAAAGGTTTGACAGCAACACTGGTGTTTTAATAGTGTTTTTGGTTCAGTTTGTTAGTCTCTTGAACTTCAGGATTATGTCTTAGAATATATGTTCGAAAGGATAGAAACTATATTTTAATTTGGAGTTTCAAAAGCCTACCCCTGCAACAAAATAGAAGTTCAGTAAGTGTGTCATCCTCAAAATATCTGTGGGTCTTTTATGTTTATAATATTCTGACACCCAAAATGAGAGTAGTAGTTGAATTTTATGATCTGGATTGTTTAATGAGAGCTATCTTCCTTAACAAGTAATAACATCAGGAACTTAAACGAAAATTGAACATTCTGACTCGACCGAGGTATGAGATTTTTGAAATTACCCCATGGTTGTCCCTAATTATTTATCCTGATATTAATATTTAATCACAATTTCTTTGTAAAAAGTGTATAGGATTTCTGTATCATTTTTATTTGTTCAGCATACTCTGGGATAAGGTCTGAATTCTTATAAGTGGATTAAAATTTTAAGCTGATTTATTGGGTGAAAGTATGAAACACAATCCAGAAAATGTTGACTTAATGTTCAGAACAGGCAAATTGTTAACCTAGTTATTCCTATTCAACAAACATTTCTAGAAAGCTAGAATTAAGATTACAGTTTTGGCTGGGTCTGGTGGCTCATGCCTGAAATTCCAGCACCTGAAAAAAAGGTTGCAGTA